AAAAGAAGAAAAAATATAATAAAAGTTGAGAAGGTGTTTGTTAGTGGAAAGAAAGAATGAGGTATTAAAATTAAGGTAAGTTATATTATACCTTGAGTTACCATAATATATTTTACATATGTTTTAACTTACCATAATTTATTTTATATAAGTTATGTTTTATAAATTATTATAAATTATATTAATATTTCAATTACGTATGTTATTTTCTGACCCCTATCTACTTAAAATGAAACTCATGGATATGTTTGTTTAAATTTTAGAAAGTATTTGATAATGACCTTATAAACAATTATGTTTTGTAAGTACTATCAAGGGAGTCCCACGCCTTGGGAGACTTAAATAACCATCGACTTCTGTTTGATCACTTTGTGGCACTCTATTGTCATGGATCCATTGACCTCTGTTCTATGCGGAGCAAAGTGCTGTGTGGAGATAAGTGTTACACTATTGTGGGAGCCACCTCTATAATCCATACGAACCACCTCTTGAATCCATACCTTTGTTCTGACTATCACTCATGTGACCTCTGTTCTGTTCGGTACCGTGGTTATGGTTATTTATTTACATAATATAGTTTTGCTACTTAAATAATTATTTGTTCAAACTAAGTTATCTTAAATATTTTAGTTACATAACTATTCATGGTTATTTTGTGTCCCTTATATTCTTGGTATAATATTTCTCACTCTGCCATGTGTTTATAGCTGTTTACCAATTTTCAAGAAACAATGCAATTCAGAAATAGCGTTTGGAAAGTCTTAGATGAGGGGCTATGGAATAGACACACACAACACTTTTATGATATTTTTATATATAAATATCGGCCTTTTTGGTTAATAAATTTTGTAATAAAAATAGAAATTCCGATAATTATTTTGATACCCTCATTTAAATATTATTTCTGCTCGCGTTTATTAATTTGTTTAAGAATTGGCCGGAGATAACCTCAGTTACTGGCCATCACGATACTTAACCCTTAGGTACGGAGTACGGGGAGCGGGTCGTGACATATTATGTCTATGGTTGGTTTTTTATGTTTTGTTCTACGTTCATAACATTCAGAATTGTTGGTGGTCAAGAAGATTTTGATTTCTGTTAACCAGTAGGAACATAAAATGAACAAAACAGTGATGGCAAACTTTTGCTATCTTTTATTTATTTATTTATTTATTTTTAAATGCCTAACTTTAACTCTATTTTTCAATGAACAAAACCATACTAGTTTTTGCATCCAATCTCAAAGATTTTGCAAAATGTCTCCATCAGCTTTCATATGATCTTCATAATTCAAATATTTTAGATACTATTGACCTTGAGGATCTAGTTATAGACAGTAGTTTAGTCCAAGATTGTTTGTTATGTAGTTTATCAATGGCAACCCATTCAGAAGAGATCCAGAGACGAGTCGAGCTTTGTTGGATTTTATGGGTTTAGGCTTGAGGAGAGTAACATGAGGATAACCTATCGAGTGAGTAGATTACCATTATGCTATTTCGCACTATTTATGGCTCGAGGGTTTTCTCACATAGGATTGATTTTTGGATCTCACCATTGATGTTGACAATAGTTGCTAGAAATTGTTTTATTCTTATTATTATTATATAATTTTAGGGACAAATCAATATAGAACATGGATTTTCCTTTCTGATATTTTAAAATCAAGGGATCACAACTTTGAAATAATTTGTGATGAAAGAGATGCTAATTTTTCCTATATATATATATATATATAATTGGCAATGAAAGAATGAGATTTTTTTTTTTTTTTTTTTTTTTTTTTTTTTATAGATTCCTCGTATTAAGATTTTATAGTATAAAGGATACTCAATATTTTCATAATATCTAAGATCCCTCAATCTAGAGAAATTTCAATCCAAAGAATTTCTCTGGACTTCCTAGAGAATTTCTCTGTGTTTTGATCAATTTTCTCTAATTTGCTCATAATTTTCTCTATGTTTTTTTATCAAACCAGAGAAAGTTGAACAACCACCATTTTTATTTCGACCAATTTTCTTTAGATTGTAAGACATTTAGACAACAACAAACCAGAAAAAATTGAACAACCACCATTTTCAATTTAATCAATTTTCTCTGGATTGTAAGACATTTAGACAACAACAAACCAGAGAAAATTGAACAATTACCATTTTTATTTTGATCAATTTTCTCTGGACTGTAAGACATTTAGACAACAACAAACCAAAGAAAATTGAACAACCACCATTTTCATTTTGACTAATTTTCTTTGAACTGTAAGACATTTAGACAACAACATTTTCATTTTGATCAATTTTCTTTGAACTGTAAGACATTTAGACAAGAATAAATCAAAGAAACCATTTTAACAAACCAAAGAAAATTGAACAATTATCATTTTCTCTGGGCGGTAAGACATATTTACACAATTAGAAAAGAATTAGTGGGAGAAAAGAAAAACAAAGCTATTTACTAAACTTCTTTTTATTAGTGTCAATATTTTCACACATTTGATAGCTCTAAACCGTCAAATAAATTGTTGATATTTTTCACTGGGAAAAGAACATCAAAACCTATAAAGGGCACAAGTGAACAAAGGAATGTGGACTAATTCTGAGAAAGTTTTATTTTCAACTGTAACAGCCCCCTCCTTGAGAAGCCTTGACATCTCTGTCTCCCGATGGCCCTGGAATGCCACCGTATCTGACTTTTATCCCATAAGACTGCAAAACAAAACAAATAACTAGATTTTAGTACAGCGAATTATACATGTTATCCAATCAGCATTCTTTAATATATAAATACATGTATATATATTTGATAAATAATCAGCATTCTTTAATATTGTTAATGGTATATCAAAAGTTTTTGATAACAATGAGATGTTTAAGCCATAGTAAAAATGTTTTTCGCTTGAGAGAAGTTTTAAATTACATAGGCATACTAACTAACTAGTAGTCATATGTGAAAACCTCAAATCTAAGTCCACAGTTAACTTCTTAGTCGACCACGTATATGCATGTGAGTTTCATGTAATCTCAAACAAAAATGAGGTCATTTAATAAAAATCTAATCATTTAAACCAATTATGTTTGTTGAGTTTCCTATTTTGTATTGAAATGAAAATAATAACTTGCTCAACCTAAACTGTCCAAATTAAGTGCCAAAAAATAATTCCAAGCAGAATCTAATCTTTCATGCAAAGATGAGCAATGGATTCTTCCACCATGAATAAATAGAACACTAGAGGAAGAGAGAATACCTCATTTAATACATTAAAAACTCCATCATGAATCTTTTTATAGATTGTTGCGGCTGTGTTTATAAATGCCTGTACAAAAACTTCATTATCAGAAAGATAAAAAGAAATCTGTCTAGAAACCAAGTATCATTTTAATATTGAATTAATTCCTGCTCATGCTAGGAAACTTTTTTAAACATCAGTCAACCAATCAGTAGGAAGATTCATTAAGACAACAACAAATCAGAGAAAATTGAACAACCACCATTTTCATTTTGACCAATTTTCTCTGGATTATAAGATATTCAAACAACAACAAACTAGAGAAAATTAAACAATCACAATTGCTAAAGAATTAGCAATGGAAGAATCGAGCAATTAGAAGAAAAAGCAAGCTATCGAAGATGGTAAAGACAGAATCAGCACTATACCAGTAAATCATAGCATTTCACAACTAAAACCAAGATCTAAATATAGAATGTAAAACCCAACAATTTCTTCCCCATTATCCTCAAAACTTATCAGTAACCAAGCAATAGCCCAATTCAGACTACTTAAATTATCAAAATTTTCTTTTTTTCTAAAATTCCTCAACAATTAAGCAAAACTCATAATTGCAAAAGCAAAACCCACAGCTGAAAAAGCAAAAGAAAGCAGGCCAAAGCCCTACCTTCTCATTGATCATGAGTATCATCGACATGACATGCTCAAAAGTTGCCTTCTCCCCATCAAAACTGGGCCACAAGTAATTCTTCAAGTACTAACTCACCTCCAGAATCATCACCCTCTACAGTGGCACGGGCTTCCGACCGTCCTTGACCAGCAACTCCATGTCGTAAATCTCCTTTACCAAATCCGAACTGAAAGACTACTTCGGCCTCTCTCCGCCTCCAGCCTTGAACCAATTCTCCAACGCAATCTTCGTCACATGGTCCATCTGAATCTCAATCAACGTTATTGAGTTTGGAAAATTTGAACCAGTCTGCGACTCCAGAGGTGTCGCGGCATTTTTTGACCCCAATAGCTATGAATTTCCTCTCTGAATCTCTAAAATCTCTAACACTGGAACCATTGAAAACGAATAGTCGCCAATGGTGAAGATTGTAGTACAAATGAAGATGAAGATGAAGATTAGGGTGAAAAGTTGTAGAGGGGAAGCCATGGTTCTTGTTTCATTTGTAAAGAGAGAGAGAGAGAGAAAGAGAGAGAGAGAGAGAGAGAGGTTGAGAGAGAGAAAGAGGTTGAGGGAGAGAGAGAAGAGATGATATGCTGAGGGACCTTAGAGCATCTCCAACGGTTCACCTAATGTTTCACCAAATCTGAGTTAAAAAATGGCCATTTCCTTAATTTGATACTTCACGCTCCAATGGTTCACCTTCATCAAATCTCATTCAGGACAACCGGATGGTCGACCAGACCGGTCGACCGGTAAAAGGAAAATTTATTTTTTTTTTAAACCTTTTTGAACTGTTTGAACCAACCACTGAACTGTTTGAACCAACCAATGTGAACTGACCGATGTGAACTGGTAGGGGGCGACCGGTTGGTTGACCGGCCGGTCGACCGGTAATCTTTATTTTTATTTTTATTTTTTTTTTTTGATTTCCCTCCATTTCTGTTCCTAATTCTTTTCCTATTTGTTTTTCCCTCCATTGGTTTACTCGTAATAATTATTTTCTTCTAAAATCTCATATAAACACATTATTATTTATATGCCAGACAACTCCACAAGGATCATAGCTTAAACACAAGGATTATATCTTAAACAAAACAGAGGATAATGGATACTTTGAAATCCATGCTATTTACTTCATTTTCATCATCTTCTTCTTCTTCCTCCTCCTCTGATGAGGAGTCTGATGATGAATATATGATCACACTTTTAGCAGCTTATGAGCAGAATACTAGTAGTATGCTTCAGATTCTTAAGTCAAGTGATAGCTCAAAGAAAATAGGGGGTTCTGTTGTAGGTCACAAGTATATATGTAGAGATAGAAGGCAAGGTCATGACAGATTGTTTGCAGATTATTTTGCTGCAAATCCAGTGTATTCAGCTACAATATTTTGGAGACGTTTTCGAATGCGTCGTCCTTTGTATTTGCGAATTTTGAATGCAATCGAAGCACATAATTCATATTTTATTCAAAAACAAGATGCAGCTCATGTAGTTGGATTATCTGTCCTACAAAAAATGACTTCAGCGATGAGAATATTATCATACGGTGTCGCAGCAGATGCAGTTGATGATTACATACGTATTGGGGAAAGCACTGCGATTCAAAGTTTACAACAATTTTGTTATTCAGTGATTGAAATCTTTGGAGTAGAATATTTGAGATCTCTGACACCAACTGACATTGCTAGGTTACTTGCTATTGGCGAGGTTCGGGGGTTTCCGGGTATGTTGGGAAGTTTAGATTGCATGCATTGGGAGTGGAAAAATTATCCAAAAGCATGGCAAGGTCAATACGTAGGCCATCAAAAAAAGCCAACCATTATTCTTAAAGCAGTAGCTTCTTATGACTTATGGATTTGGCATGCATTTTTTGGAATGCCTGGGTCACACAATGACTTGAATGTATTAGACCGGTCACCTTTGTTTTCTGATCTTGCCCAAGGTAAGGCTCCCCCTGTCCACTACACTGTTAATGGACATAGTTACGATATGGGTTATTACCTTGCTGATGGTATATACCCGCAACGGGCAACACTGGTTCAAACAATTTCTTCTCCCCAAGGAGCAAAGAGACAACATTTTGCAATGATGCAAGAGTCTGCCAGGAAAGATGTAGAGCGGGCATTCGGAGTCCTCCAATCTCGATTCGCAATTATAGGTGGTGCTGTACATTTTTGGGATCCAAAAATGCTTGCCAACATAATGAAAATTTGCATTATATTACACAATATGATTGTTGAAGATGAGAGGGAGGAGCACCTTGATTTTGATTATGAAATTTCATCTCCCAACACACCAATGCAACTTTCCTCTACTCCTACCAATGACTTTGAATCATTTTTGTCTCGCCATTTAGGTATTAGGGATAAAAATGCATATCATGCCCTCCATAATGATTTAATAGAACATATGTGGCATCTTCGCGGTGAAAACTAGATTCACCACAGATATATTTTGTAATTTTGTTTAGTAAAGAAATAGAAGGTTGTCTTGTTTGTAATCTTCATTATGATGCACTATATTAACCAAGTAACGCAGAAGTTATGTGATTAGATGTGCTATTGTGGTGATCCAATCTTCAATATTCATAATTGTTCTCTGTTCAATTTATGACAATCATCAAAATAATTTATTTCAGTATGACAATTCTGTTTTGGAGTTCTATAATTCTGTTTTGGAGTTGCAAGTTTGCTTCACTATTGATTCCCCAATAAGTCTAGGAACACAAATATCAAATATAGAATATGACATATATGTTTTACATGAAATGAGTCTTATATGTGGATCTCATATCATGTACATCACATTTCATATGAGACATATGTGTCTCATGTTTTGTATTTATATTCCTACCATTACTCATTGATTCCCTTCTATCCTTAAACAGTGAATCACACATTTCCTAAGAATCTTCAATCTTTTATCAAATTAAAATTTGATGACAAATTTGGTAAAAATCACCTCCAATCTACATCAAACTTGTATTAAATCAAACTTTTACATTTCTTTCATCAAATCAAGGCAAAAAAAAGCTTTTTAACAAATTTGTTGAAACAAACTTTTGGGAATAGGTTTGGAATTTTTAAAAAGATTTGATGATTAAGGGTTTGGCATTTTTAAGAAGTGAGGATTGGTGCATTCAATTTTTTCATCAAATGAAGCATTCAATTAATTAAGGGTCTGGCTCGTGGGATTCATCATGCATGGCATTATTTGTGCATTCGAATAATTGCTTTTGTAAGGATTTATCTTCAATATTCATAATTGGACTGATTGCATGCATTTTAGTATGTATATTCAATGTATTTGTATGTATATTTGTTTTAAATTCAATGCATTTTCATTATTTGTGCATACATTATGTGTGCATTATTCAATGTATTTATGCCATACATTATTTGTGCATTATTTGTTGCATCAATTATTTGTGCCATTCCGTAAATTATTGATGTTGATGCATTGAACATTCAACCTACTTTTCTGCCACATTGAACATTTAACCTACAGTCATTGTACTATATGTGGCAAATCATCTATTGAACCACCTACCATTCAGAAGATCACACCACCTACAATTCATTATATGAACCACCTATCAATTCAACCACCTATCATCCTCTATATCAGCTCAACATTGCCATCACCACATTCACATTTCACATGTTTTCACTGAAGCCCTCTAACCACACACTCTACATTTTCAAGTGTGAATCCACATCATCACCAAGGCAGCATCAGTAGGAACAGAGGAACAAGGCAGGATCATCAAAACAGAACAAGAAGGCAGCATTAAAAGAGCAAGGTGATTCACGGGGCAACCGGTTGGGCAATCGGTTGGGTAACCAGTTGGGGAACCGGCCCTTTCATTTTTTTATTTTTTTTCCCCTTCCAGTGTGCATGCCACTCAATTGTTCAACTTGTTTACAGAAGACAGGAACATAATTTCACTATATGTTACTTTCATGTTTTCTAAATTAATGTAGTTTATTAAAACCTGCACCACAGAACTAAATTTTAAGTTTCACTTGATGTTACTTTCTTGTTTTGAAAATGCATGTAATTTATTAAAACCTCAACTACAGAACATGAGTTTATTTACTACTTGATGTTACTTTGTAGTTCTATAAAATGAATGTAATTTACTAAAACCTGAACTACAATACTGAATTTTCAGTGTGCATGTTTTATTAAAACATGAGCTACATTCATTTGATATGTACTGAATAGAGAGTCTGCATGCTTTTATACTACATTACTATGTTCTTAAATTTTCAGTGGCCATGCTTCATTAAAAATACATGTCTACTTAAATTTTCAGTGGCCATGCTTCATTAAAAATACATGTCTACATTTTAATTTTAAGTTCATGTTTTCAGTAAGCATTTTAAAAGACAGTGTTTATGTTAATTACTTCATTATAGCACATTTTTATTAAAATTCAACAGATATTCACATCATGCCTAGAACTAAAAGAGTGAGAACAAAAGCTGGTGAAAGTTCTAACCCTCGACGATGCGAACAACAGTAGCCTCAAAATCAGTCATATCCTACAGATGAATTTCTCAGTGAAAGTCATGAACTAGCCTTTCAAAATTTCTCAAGCCGACCTATTGTAACAAGGATGAGGGTCAATCTGCCACCTCAATATGATGCACTACTAGTTAGTAAACTTGAATCAATGGGATGGCTAAATTTAATTAATTTACCCCAAAAGGTATATCCACGGCTAGTATCCCTTTTTTATGTTCACCTAAGAGTTACTCATGAAGAAGATGGAAATTTTACTCTTTTGTCATATGTGAAAGGAAAGGGTGTACAGTTTGATGTTCCTACTTTGGCACGCATTATTGGAGTTGAGATAGGTGATGGAATACCCATTTTCAGACTGAGGCTGAGTTAGTTAATATTGTCGGTAATGGTACTGATGTATATACTACTATATGTCATAACAGATTTACTGGAACTAGTCTACAAACAAGACATTTAAAATCTTATCTTCGGATCCTCCACCGGTGGATTGTAGAAAATGTCACTCCGAAAAAAGGACATCATGATGCGGTCCGATATTTTAATGCCTATTTGTTATACTGTTTTGAGGTTGGGCAGAAGTTAGATTTGTCTTACATAATTATGAAAGAAATGGTGCTGGCAAATCAAGAAATGGGCCAGTCATTACTGTTTGGGGCACTCTTGACAAAAAATTTCAAATATTTTAATGTTCATTTTGCAAATGAAATGGAGATCAAAATCCGTTCACCCATTACACAATATACTGTGAATCGTGCTGGTGCAGCCGCCAATTTAATGGGAAATGATAATGCTGCAGAAGATTCAGAGGATGAAGTCCCACCAGATGATGGTCCACAAGATCCTCCTGTCAATGTGATGCCATCAACTGAACCACCTCAATATTGGACTGATTTTTTGGTCATAGAAGAACAATGTTATAATCAACGCGTTGAATGGGAACATCAAATGGCTAATCAGGTCAATTCGTTGGGTACTCAGTTTGAGACATTTGCCACTGCACAAAACTCATTAATTGAACAATTTGGTGAGTTCCGTTTGGACATTGGAAGACGTCATGACGTGGCAAATAATCGCATTGATAGAATTGAGCATCGCATAAATGACATATACCATCACTACTTCCCTCCTCCACCACAACCAGATAATGACTGTTGATCAGTGTGCCATTATGTGTTTCCATTGTTTTGTCTTGTATTATTTTCACAACCTTTTGTTAGGTAAATTTCTTTTATGAATGTACTGATTTTGTAATATTATGTGATATAAAATGATCTTGCCTTGGTAATACTTCAGCACCATCTTTTCAAGCTTCACTCATACCATAATCTGTAATATGTTATTAATGTTTCTGATTACTTAAATTTGTATGAAAGTTTTTGAAAGGTGTAATGGTAACCAAAGAAAAGAATAAAGGATGTATTTATATGTAAGTAGTTATCTGTAATACTGTATGTACATGTACAACATATTCTTATTTGAGAAATCAGACAGAGGAGATTCATTGAGATGAAGATAAGACGCAGATTGAATGAAGGGTGAAATTATAAAACCTTGGAATTATAATCATCTATAACAATATGAAGATGTAACCCTTGGACTTGATTGCGTAACAGAAGAACAACACCCATTTAGATAGTTGTAGGAAATTGTAGAAGAAAAATAAAAATATGAGCCCCTTATTCGACATATCCATGAAGAAGAATTTCATTCATGATAACTACTTAGCAATTGGTGTGTTTTGTTTTTACCAATCAATATGGTATCCAAAGAAGCAGTAGAGAATAGAACGCAACCATCTCAAGAAACAAAAACTGAGAACAAATTAATTAATTTCTAATTTTACATAAATGGAAAAGGCAAGTGAGACATTTCATATAATTGTACACGGTTTTTCTGTTTCCTTTTCCAATAGATGACACCAATAGATGAAACCAGTAAATACAGAACCTTTCAAGGCAATCTATTAGTTGTTCGAAATAAAATCTGTCGTTGAAGATCTTCGTAGTACGCCCTTTGCATTGGATTTAAATTTGTCATGGCCATTGACATTATTTTATGATCTTCATTTCGTTGTTCTCTTTCATTCATCATAGATAGGAGTTTTAGTTGTTCCTCCCTATCTTCGGCCCTTCTTCGACGGTCTGCAGCTTTCTGGTCACGGTCGATCGCCTTTTGTTCATCTCGCTCAATAGTTCTAGCGGAAATAGTTGATAACGCTTCAACAATTTTGGATTGGTTGGCAGCCATTTCATCAAATCTACTATCGTGGGTTGTTTGATTCTTCAACTTCTCTTTCGCTGCTTTAGTACCAATTGGTCGTGTTGATGGATAAGATGGTTCTTCGTGCAGAACATTATTCTGGTTGGATTGAAATGCATCAGATTCTCCAATTGGTGGATTAGAACATAGATAAGCATGTTGCGTACTCTTTTTGGATTGTGTTCGAAATTCATCCCACTTACAACTTCGGCGCAAAATATCCCAACATGTATCAAATGTGAAGTGTTTTTTCTGTATTGCATGATACATCCGCTTTGCTTCAGCGACCTACAAAAAAAATTACAACAATTTTAATAACAAATATACATTTAGAGAAGAAATTTGATATTTAATAACACAAATAAATGTTACCATGTCTGCCTCAGTTGTTCCACTTTGTTTCCTCAGTTGAATTTGTTCAAGAAAACCACAGAATTTATTAATTGCCTTTTGCATGGCAGACCAACGGTGAGACAAAGAAATACGGTTTCGATTTGATTCACCACTCAATTGTGAATTAAAATTAACAAGTACTCGTTCCCAAAATATAACCATAGTCTGACTATTACCAGTAATGGGATCTTGAGAGACTGCTAACCAAGATCTACATAAAGTTTCATCTTCTATAATTGTAAATGCTTTACCACGAGAAACACGAGAAGTTTCTGAAATGAAATGATTATCACTGCTCTGCGTGTTCTGTTCTCGCGAAGTTTCTGACATAAAATTAATATCAGTGTTGTGCTGAAACATTTGTGATTCTTCAAACATTTGAAAATCTTCCATAATTTCAAAAAAATACAGTACATACAATATGTAAAATAGTAAAAAATATTTGAATGATATACAATCAATACTGAACCTCAGAATCAGATAATTTAGTCATATAATATAAATTAAAGTTTCAAAGGAGAAAAATCGTAGAAGAAACAAAATTCACAACACACAATGTAATGCTCTTCTCAAAATAAAATACTCTGCCATCTTGATATACAAAACTGAAATATTTTATAGAACACATTATCAACGGTAAATTTTAAAAATACTCTGTTCATGCAACGGTAAATTTATTAAAACGGCTACTTTTAAAATATGTATATGAGATAACAACGGCAAATTGTCAAAAGACTCTGTCCATCTAACGGTAAATTTACTGAAATGACTAATTTTAAAATATTTATATAAAAGATAACAATTTGAATTATATTTTCAATGAATTTAAAATTTATATCACCCTTCAAATTATTCCAAATTATTCCAAGTCCACAAAATAAGCTATCTAAAAATAAACCTATCTGAAATTCTACCTGTTGAAAGCAGTTGAAACCTACCATTCACATGCTTAGACCGGGCGACCGGATGGTCAACCAGCCGGTCAACCGGCTGGTTGACCGGTTCATCAACAACGCTCAGGCCATGGACCAGTTCAAACCCATTAGTTCAACCAGTTCAAACCCGTCACAGTTCAAACCCATCGCATAATCTGATGAACCGATTGACCGGTTGGTCAACCGGTCGAGCAACCGGCTGGTTGACCGATGTACCTCTTTCAACGGTCAGTAACAGTGATTTGGTAAAATCTCTATCTTGTTCTCAGTTTGATACTTTTTTTGCTGAATTCTCATTTTGATATTCATTTGATGCAACGGTTGGAGCATAAAAAAGTGCCTTTTTCATCAAAATTTGAATCTGATGTCAATTTTGGTTCACCGTTGGAGATGATCTTACCCAACAAAAAGAAATACTATAGACCTTTTTTATTATTAAAAGTTGAGGAGGGATGTTAGACTAAATTCCCCGCGAAAGAATCGCCTTTGCTGAAAATTAATTTTCTTTAACAATGAAGATATCAATTTTGGTAACCAATAGCTTTTATAAATTAAAATAAGACAATGAAATGAGTTGAATGGGCCTGAAATAACAGAATAGAGCCTAATCAAACTAGAGTGAAATTCTAGTGGGCAACCAAACAATTTGAATGTAGCTCACCCTAAATTAAAATGGGCAAATTATCTAAAAATCCTATTTAAAAGAGGATAAATTTATTTAATCTCCCAACTTTTTGGGTATTCTCAAAAGTCCATTATGTATTTTTTTTTCCTTCATTCTTCTATGTGCATTCATTCTTCTTTACCTCTTTATCTTCTTAATTTTCGGCTATCTGTGACCATGCTTTGCTTTTTTTCTTTCTTTTTCTAATATATAGTCACTGGTGACCGAAAACCACCATTGATTAGGGTTCATCGAACTTCTTACTTCATCCTTACCGACGGCAAAGGAGACGAAATGCTAGCAAAGAAGATGAGTAGATCTATTCAAATCTGATGGAGATTTAGATCAGATTTGAGTAGATTAACGTGAGATCCGACTAGAACTAAACCAAAAATAGTTGTCGGAATACAATCTTTTCTCTATATTTGTTTCTCTCCTTCGATCTCTCAATTTTTCTACATTTTCTCTGCAACACACTTTTATTTTCCTGTTTTAATAGAGAAAATTTTCAAATTCTAAACAAGTTGTTTTCGAGTTTTAGTTACAGGTGATGAAAATTATAAAATTTTATAATTTCAGTTTTTTTGGGTGTTGAAATGAATCATTCTTTAAAATTTGAAAATTTTGCAATTTCATAATATTCTTTAAAACTGTAAAATTTTGCAATTTCATAACATAATTTTCAATTTCAAAGCTTACTTTTCACTTTAATCAATGTTAGAGATTATTTACTTAAACCTTACAAAAATTAAAACATAATATATATTTTTTCCCATTGTTTTTTTTTATTTAGTTTATCAATATTTAGCACGATTTGCTATGGTTTTTCACTATAATTTCTCAATTTATTCTTTTTTTTGGTAATATTCTGAACATTCCAGTGAGTCTCTGATGATTTTCTTGACATCTAGCGAACATTTTGGATATTCCAGTGACATTCAGAACACTTCGGCAATATTCCAGCGAACTTCCAGTAATACTCCGATGACTTTCCGGTGATTTTGAACATTTTGGCGAATCTCCGATGACCATCTGATGGAAGTCTGGCAGTGGTGGGATGTAACAGCATTTTTAAATTTATATACTATAAAAAAAAAATTAGTAATGAAAAATCTAGAAATCCCCTAGATGTTGATTTGTGATTATGTATCAATTTTAAGCAGTAAACAACAATCCCAATCAAACAATCAAGACAAATCGACACAACGATTTTACGTGGAAAAATCACAATTGGACACCTCCAATTGTGATAAAAAATCGAGTTTTAGTTACAGGTGATGAAAATTATAAAATTTTATAATTTCAATTTTTTTGGGTGTTGAAATCAATCATTCTTTAAAATTTGAAAATTTTGCAATTTCATAATATTCTTCAAAACTATAAAATTTTGCAGTTTCATAACATAATTTTCAATTTCAAAGCTTACTTTTCAGTTTAATCAATGTTAGAGATTATTTGCTTAAACCTTACAAAAATTAAAACATAATATATATTTTTTCCCATTGTTTTTTTTTATTTAGTTTATCAATATTTAGCACGTTTTGCTATGTTTTTTCACTATAATTTCTCCATTTATTCTTTTTTTTGGTAATATTCTGAACATTCCAGTGAGTCTCTGATGATTTTCTTAACATCTAGCGAACATTTTGGATATTCCAGTGACATTCAGAACACTTCGGCAATATTCCAGCGAACTTCCAGTAATACTCCGATGACTTTCCGGTGATTTTGAACATTTTGGCGAATCTCCGATGACCATCTGATGGAAGTCTGGCAGTGGTGGGATGTAACAGCATTTTTAAATTTATATATATATATTGGTAACAATTAAAAATATATAGGATTAATTGGTGCAAGTATTTTGTTTTAGAACTAAATGGAATTTAAATTTTATATATGAGACTTACTGGTAAGTACCCAATTAAAATTTGCTAACCTAAATGCAGTTTACCCTTTGGTTAGGCAAGGACATAGCTGTCATAAGGGTAATTATATTTTTACACACTAATTCCCTTAGTATACACACTTAATGAATATTTTCTCAATGAACACATTATAAAAATATAAATTCTCAATACACACCTCTATATTCCAATTTTACCCTCATTTTCAACTTTAAAACCCTAAGGCTATGTTTGGTTTCAATTTTTGAATCAATTTTTTTAAAATTTTTATGAGAAAAATATAATTAATTTGACAAAAATAAATACCAAAAAAATAATTTTTTATTCTTTTGCCACTAAAAAGCCGAAACCATATTTAAATAAGAAGTTTATTTATTTATTTTTGAAAACATATTCTAAAATTATATCAAACAAAATCTTTTTTTTTTCCCCATTCATCCACTCATCTTTTGCTGTCATCGCCGTTACTTTCAACCCTCCATCCTAAATCTCCATAGGCAACATTGAGTGATTCGTGGTAAGAAACTTGTGAGAATGTATGATTCATGGTGGAAAGTGATTGTAGCAGATAAGAAAAGAGGTGATAGGAGGGGATGGTGGATGAGAGAGGTGGAGCTGGTGATAAAGGGTGGTTGTGGCATTTTAGAAATAGGATTTGAGTAGAAGAAGATGAGGATATTATGATATTTTTATTTTAGGACAAAATTGTATTAATGAAAATTTTCATTAAGTGTGTGAACTGAGTAGAATTAGTGTGTGGAAATAGAATTACCCATCTCATAACCCAAGCATTTTGAATTCTATTATTACTAATAAATATAATTATTTGTAATAAAAATTAATATTGATTATGTTTCA